CCAGTTTTGGGGGGAGAAGGCCGTTTTAGTTACAAAGTATTTTCTACGCCTTTTTTTCGACTTGTTTTGTTGGAACTGCTGTTTTACGCCGCAGTTCGCGTTGCGAAAGTTTCACAAGAATGCTGAGTTGTGAACAAAACTTTCGCCCCAGCCGGGATTCGTACCCGGATCCTCTTGCTTTCCGGGCAATTGTGCTACCAGTTACACTACCGGGGCACCATTTCACTCCAACTCAGCTTTTGATGGTAAGGATACTATAGCTTTTTTGATGTTGTACAGCTGAGGCTGGATAGTGCAAACAAGTGGTTGGGGTGAGGGCGAAGAAGATTTGGCCCAAGCCTAGGGGAGCAATTATAGGTCCAGTAGACAATTTACTTGCAAAATAGGTTTATTCAGGGAGTTCGACGCCTTGCGAAGTGAAGTGCGAAGCTCATACCTTTGCTTAGATGGAAACGTTATCCTCTGAATTATTTTGATGCTCTCTGACAGAATGCCCCCTCCTTCATCCTTAGCGCCAGTATATCCTATGTATTTTGATATTAATGATTTTCTTAAATTTGCTATTGTGGTCTCATGTATACTGTCCTTGCACATCCATGACCGTAGATGTTACGATTTCCGCGAACTTATTCGGTTCGATTCATAAAGTTGGTGGTCGTTTAGCTTTTCTAATGGCTCCAGATTCATTTCGTTTATAGAGCGAGTGTCTCGTTTGACAACTTCGGCCCCAGTTTCACTATAGCGGAAGTCGTTTCTGGTTTCAATTCCGTGAATGCCACAGCCGAATTGGTTGTCTTCGACTCTCCTCTACTCGCATAGTAGTTGTAATGCTTGTAGTGGTTGTTACCTTCATATGTAAGTCTACTTCAATCTCGAAATGCCTTAATCTATCGATAGTTATAGTTAATCGCTTTCAGTTGTGCTATCTTCAGTTTATAACGTCGCACTCATCTCGTCAAGCGCTTTCACTATAGATCCAGAAACTGGCCACTCGAGTGCTTATTTGTCCAAAATATATGTTATGGAGAAGGAGCGGAGGTGATTTCAGTATTTTAGTGGTTTTTTTTGGATGAAAACACTTTAAATTTTTTGATTCGAGTTGCTAGCACTTAGCCGGTGTGAAATTAAAACGAATGAGTTTGTTCATTCAATCAAATTACCTTGCTTTAGCGCATTATCTGCAAGATTAGATGCCCTAGAGAAAGAGTTGGAATTGTTGAAAACAGTGCTGCGGAAAAATGGAACCGCAATCCAAGGATCCGGGTACTGAATTTCTCGAATATTTATTGCCTCTTCTGTTCGAATTATCTTCTTTCAGCAAGACGTTTCCAGATGTTCGATTTCGAAATGAAGAGCATCGTAAACGAATTTTGGTTACTGGTGGCGCAGGATTCGTTGGTTCACACTTGGTTGACAAGCTGATGATGGATGGACACGAGGTTGGTTTTGTCTGTTGATACACTTTTCGAACTTGAGGGTCCATTGGTGAAGTTTTCCAGGTTCAATGCACCGGTTTAGTTTTCTCTTGCGAATCACTGAATCATGCTACTGAACCAAGCTCACTTGTAGGAATAACGGGGTATGCAGTTAACATGAGCAAACAGCTTCTTTTGATGCTTAAACTGGAAAAGGGGTCTTGGGGAGGGGAAAGGGCAGTTTGTAGGAAGACCATTACGACTAATCCTGACGTAGAGGTGAGAATTCTGTAGAGTAATAGAATTTCTTACGCTCCTCGGATTCCCTCTTCCCCTCCAAGACTCACTTTAAAGGCTGAGCGTTTCCATGGTTCTGACGTAATGTTACAGGCTGACCCACCCACTTCCCCCTCCTTCCGGAGCCACATTGCTCTCCATTTTTTGCCCTATTCAGGAACTTCTCTGCTTCTCACCACTGGCGCACCATTTATCACCCCGCGTCCCTTCTAAAACTGCCCAGGGCCTAGCGTGGTCGCTGTTTTAAAGTGAAATTAGTTCCTCATAATAAATGTATTTGTAGCGGTCAAATTTCTCGTGGTCTGTTTTTCATTTTCAGGTAGGTCATTTTGGTCTTTCAAAGGGTTTACACTTTTACGCCCAATCTTTTTTGTTTTACTTCACTCTTCAAACATCCAAACATCTTCTCGGTTCTTGCGGGCTTTTTTCAATTTTTTAATGTTTCTCTCTCGCCTAAACTTTCTTTTCTTCCTGAGTGGTCGCATGGAGAGGATGTAGTGCCCACCCGGTATTGCATACCGTGCCAGTGGTCCGAAGGTCCAGGATCGTGTATCGTCTGGGCTATCCAAGCCTTCCATTCTTGCCGCCGGTTAGTTGGTCTGTGAGGACAAAAACGTCGGCTTGTACATCGACCCCCCATCCACAACTTGTTGCATCAGCTAAGCCGCATTCAAAAGTTATTATGATTATGGAGGAAGTAGTATGATTGGTGCATTCCGGAAAGGAATTGGTCAGTGTCGGATGCCTTATCCTTTACCTTTTTTTGGATGAGGTAATTTGACGGTGGCTCTTCTCGTGACATAGTGCTATCAGCGTAAGCGACTTAATGTTTGGGCCTTTTCGACGCACTCCACTGTTGTTGTCTACTGGATATCCAGTCAGTAATAAAATGAAGCAGGAGTTATTCCTCATTACATTGTCGATTTCTAGTGAGGCCAAGGAATTGAGAAGAAGTTCCTACTTAACCTTTCGTGGTATGTTACAGGTGATTGCTCTCGACAACTACTTCACAGGAAGAAAGCGAAACGTTGAGCGGTGGATAGGTCATCCCAACTTCGAACTTGTACACCATGATGTGGTCAATCCCTATTTCATTGAAGGTTGCTAAAATTATGTGTTTAATCAAGGCTGGACGTAAGTTATCATTCGATTTTCAGTTGATCAGATTTATCATTTGGCCTCACCGGCTTCTCCACCTCACTATATGTATAATCCAGTGAAGACGATAAAAACGAACACACTGGGCACTATTAACATGCTCGGCTTGGCTAAGTTGGTGAAATTAAGCTTTCTAGTATTTCTTGCAGCTTGCAGTGTCCTTTTGTTCGCATCATGCATTGTTTGCTTAACTGTCTTTGTTTTTGGGCGCGTCAAAGCCACGATATTGCTTGCATCGACATCAGAGATCTACGGGGATCCAGAAGTACATCCACAACCTGAAAGCTATTGGGGACATGTGAATACTATAGGACCACGTAGTTGCTATGACGAAGGAAAACGAGTTGCGGAGTCCTTGATGGTCGCCTACAATAAGCAGGTTTGTTCCTTAGTATTACTTGTTGACAGTATTCATTCAGAAGTGAAGATTTTTAGGAACGTGTCCCCATACGAATAGCTCGCATATTCAATACTTTCGGACCACGAATGCATATGAATGATGGAAGGGTGGTGTCTAATTTTATTATTCAAGCGTTACAAGGGAACCCTATAACTGTGAGTTTGGTTTATATGGTTTAATTTGGATTTATTTTCTTATCATGAACTAGTTACCCTCACATTATTTTATATGTTATTTAATTTGGCTCGAGAAGCATTAAGGACGGATCATACTTTGCAGCTGGTTTTGCAGTTCCATTATGAAACACGTGCGTATCCATCGTGCGATCGCATAGAATCTTCAAGCGAAATTCCATGCGATCGCCGATCGATACGTATCTCGAACTGTAAGCCGAACTGCAAAGTATGTCCGGCCCTTTGTGTCTTTTATGTGATCATTCGGAAAAGTTCGCCGTTCAGATTTATGGTGATGGCTCACAAACGAGGTCGTTCCAATATGTTGACGATTTGGTTGATGGTTTGATATTGTTGATGAATAGTAACTGTTCGCTACCAGTCAATCTTGGTAATCCCGAAGAGTACTCGATCGCCAATTTTGCGCGTATAATAAAGGATTTAGTAGGTGAGTATGTAACCATTTATGGGCTCGTTTATCCACACAAAACTTGAATAGGTTCCACTGCTTTTACTTTCCTCTTCTTTTTTCTTTTTTTGTCTTTGTTAGGATGAATTAATTGCATGTTCCATCAGGAAGTGAAAGCAGTATAGTTAACAAGAGCTCGCAAGAAGATGACCCACAACAACGAAAACCTGATATTTCAAGGGCTGCTAAGGTGTTGAATTGGCAACCCAAGGTAAACCAGATCTTTAGCGGAAATTGCCCCCATAGCTTTGTACGTGAGTGAAAGTTTTCATTTAGGTTTCGATGCGAGACGGTCTTATAAAGACGATAGAATATTTTCGTGATGAAATCAATGAACATCGGCGGCTTTCCTCTGACGATGATTAAACGTTGCGTTGTAAAGCCGTTGATCAGTTATGTAGTTGTATAGTTACCAAATACAGCAGTACGTACTGTGATTCAAAAAGCTACCGGTTTGATGTGATTCAAAAAGTGATTCTAGGGTTAGAGTAGTTTTGGTGATAGTTGTTTTACTTACTCAACACGTCTTTCGATTAATAAGAGATATTGCATAGTTATGATTCGAATATTTATTGTATTTGCTAGTGGTTAATGGTGCGGGCATATTTTGCATACTAATCACGTATGTTTTGTGATTGAAGAGATTTCATAGCAGTTTGGTTTAACAGTTGTTTTCGATGCTTATAACCTTCGTTTTACATAACTAACGTTAGTTCGTTATTAACTTTTGTTGTTGTTTATTATAATAAATGTAAATAGGACGTATCGTTCCATAAAACTAACTGTCTGGTCAGGTACCTCAACAGCGTTTGCTGACACTCGATTTTTCGATATTAAGCAGAGGCACGGCGCAGCTTGGCTTGTCTAAACAACCGCTTCACGTTGTTGGAGCGATGAATTTGATCTAGGTTGATTTTTCATTGCGCGTTTTTTAATCTCCGTATGACCTTAAAGGCGCAGTTTATGATGAGTTTGACTGGACCAATCTCTTCGGTAGGTAAGGTAGAGCTAATGTTTGCCGTGTTCGAAGGTGCATGATAAGGAATCTAGAGCTCTGCCAAGACTTTTTCGACAACTTCACCTTTCGTCATTTGCAACGTTCGTGTGTCTGCGCCCTCTCATCCTTTGTGTTCTCTGGCCTATTCTTTCCATACTCAGTGTCTCACTGTATTAGCTTAGGCAAACCATAAAAACGTGAAACCCTTGATTTTAGTGTTTTTGACAGACTTTTCCTTTTTTCTTCACTGTCGATCCACTTTGCACCACTGGTTCCATTCTCAGGTGTAGGGGTCACAACCGGTCGTGAGCTGTACTTCCACATAGAACATGGCAGGCTACAAGTCTACCACCTAAGCCATTCAAATATTCCGAAATCATCCCGTAACCTTGCGTGTTCGCATTCGTGATCCCTTTATGGGTTCGCAATACGATTAAAAGTCCTAAAATTATCCAACATCAGTTTACAAAACTATGTTCCATCTTAGATGACAAATTACTTTTCCTGTTCACCGCCCAAGAAAAGAGCGAAATCGGAACATTCTCGTGGTGCCCGGGACTGTGAGGACTACCCCGACTCGGATGACTCATTCAATGATCCGGTCCTTGCTGAGCCTAGCCAAATAACGCGTGAGTTCATTGATTTTTCTTTTCTTCAATGATTTTTGTCGGAATACTAGGTTGCTTTTTCTTTCTGATGGGAGCTTACTATAGAGACGATCTTACAACGGAGAGATACGAAGCAGCAAAATATGGGAACACAGCATCAGTCTAGAGAAGGTGGTATCACAAGGAGCGCACCTGTACATAGTTCTCCTCTTCGTGCTCCTCGTGATGACGACAGAAGAAAACCAGTGCAAAGAGCAGTGGCATCGGTCACGCCGCGACGGTTCAACACACAGGTTTGGAGATTCTCTGGAATATGCTTTGGTTTTCTTATTTCAGTCACGTTACTATTGGGGCGTGGTTTACTAGGACAGAAAGCGACTTTTTCGCGTTCGCAGCGTGAAACATTTTTGCTGCAGGAACCTCAGGTCCACCGCTGATCATGAGTGGACCTGGAGTTCCTATAGCGAAAAAGTCGCTTTCTGTCCGAGTGAACCACACCCTCACTGGTGTCCAAATTTTTACTCAGTCTTATCGCACTCTCGCCGTACGGCTGCGGGGCCCCACAGCCGCACTGGGGTCTCACTCCATATGCGCGTCTTCACAGGAGCGTTGAAAGTTTTACGGGCTGCATCCAGCCGATCCTCGTAGATTTTTAGTCTGTTTCAATAGGTATGAACGCCTTGGGGAAGTAGTACTCACCTGCTTTCTTTTCTTGCACAACCGAAGTGCTTCACCCGCCTTGTAGCTTCCTTCCCTGCGACGATGACGTATAGTAGTCAGGCCGACTTATTTTTGCTCCTTCTAATAGATACAGGACTACTTTTCATCATAGGGTATCGGGCGGTACGTTAAACTTGCCGTTGGATTGAGTGCACTCATTATTAGACTATATTTTGCAGGAGAAAAATGACTATCATCACAATGGTCAGCTGCTCATGCTGAAGAATCGAGTAGAGAATATGGAGCGTGAACGAGAGCGTCTGGCGGCCCAAACAAGGGATCAGGTATGGTGGCGGTAGCTGTTTTAAACATTTAATTTCTTGACTTCATTTTTTCTAGCTGATTGCGAAAGAAAAGCACCATGCAGCCGAAATTAACGAAAAGGAAGAACGGATACGTCAGCTCCAAACACAAATACAGTGCCTGGTAAGCGCTCAATCTTTCCAGTTTGTCTGTTTCTGAATGATTAAAACCTATTGATAGCTATTTATTTCTATGTATATCTTCGCTTTCTAACACCTTGATTATTTACCATGTCATGCCTGACTTACATCGCATTAGTAAATTCTGTAGATAGCAAAGTGTAAAGGTGATAGTGCAAGTTCCGGTAAGCATGAGCGGAGTTCGACCAGTAGTAGGCGGACAAGGAGCCCTTTGATTGACTACTAGTCTGGTATCCGTATGATGAACTTCATAGGAGCATATGAACATTTTTGCGATATCAGAGGTACTGTCGGACAAAGAGTACGATGAATGGTAGGAGATTCAATTTTCAAACTTTTCTGTCTTCAGCGGCAGGAAAACCTGCAAAATAGCTTTCAAGTGCACAACGTCACAATTTCGGGCAAGTGTTGATGTTGAAATGGCTGGTGGAAGTGCAGTACCTACCACAGCCGTAGGGTTACCTACAAGACGGGTACGTTAGCTTAGACCTAAAATCGTTTAGGCTGCTTTTGCCACCAAAATCTCGTAAAACATTTATGACTTTGAAAATTGAGTAGTTGTTCTCCATGACTTCATACGGTACAACTTCCTCTAAGTCCAGCTGAACTGTGTATATTCAGGTGAGCTTGCCACGGAATGACGTTGCCTGGAAGACATTTCCCGATTTGGAGCTGCAGCTTCTGTTTTCGCCAATAATTCAACGGTAGATCGATTTGGAAACGAAAATGGATCTGAAACATTCGCACATATTCCTAGCCAAATGCTGGGTTTACCTGGTGTGTGGTCGACTGTCAATTCTACTTTGTATACCTTATCTTTGTATATCTTATCTCTGGTTTTCCTTGCTGGGTTTGAACGATATGGTCGTAAGCGGCGCCGATTAGAAATCCCTGGTTCAGTCCCGTCGGAAACAAACCCTCTACCTTTCGGAATCGTCCTGGAGGTAAAACTCTAACATGTATTGATTCGTCACCATGATTGATTGCAATAGCCGAATTCTTATTCATATATTATTATACGCTGGGTGGAAGTGGTACAGTGGCAAGTGGCGCGCTTACCACGCGCGGTCCGGGATCAAATCCTGGGTCGTGAGTCGCCCGGGCCAACCAAGCCTTCCATCCCTCCGGGGTCGGTTAATTGGTACCAGACTTGTCTGGGAGGATAAAAACACTGACTTGTATATGATATTGTCGAACTCATCGAATTCCCATTACAATTCTGAATGGGAGTAGGGTGCGTGGCGCATCCCAGAAGGGACTAATTGACCTAAATGCGCTATCCTCATTCTGTGTATGCTTATGAGAACTTCAGAGATTGGAGCCTCAGTGTAATTCTTTTTCATTTCTCTTCTCTACAGTACGAATCCTTATACGAGACATGCGATAGCAATTAAAATAAGTGGACCACTCAAGGATTTGTTCTGAAATTCATGCCATTTCCTGATTTTTCTCACTGTGTTCAATCTAGAAACCTGAGTATGATTTTTTCTTAGAAGGAGCGAGTGAAATCATCGAGAATGGGGCAGGAATACTTCAGAGGCACCGCTTTTTCCAGTTGTATTCATTCTTGTTCTTTGAAGTGATTGCAATTTCAGTTCCGAGCGATTCTTTCCGATGCCCTCAGCCAGTGTACCCGGCCCCACCGAAGACAACTGCTACTCCCACTGAAAACAAACAGTGTCAAGCAGATGGGCTTCCCGATGACTGGAATGTAAGTCAAAAATGTATTGGAAAGGTCTTTCAACGCAATATGGTCTGCCGAG